CCCCCCCCGCCTTGCCTTTTTAAACGGTATTTTCATAGTTGGAGAGTTTTGTACAGACAATTAAAGCTGATTATTTATACCGGTGTGTGCTGGACTGGGGTGGGGGGCGGGATGGGACGACACAGACACTGAACTGGGGGGGCATGCAGGGCCTAGCTGGGGCAAGGGGGGGATCCTCCCCCCCCAGCTGGGCATCGTGGGTCCTGCCTTGCCCCCACAGGGCATGGAGGTGGGGGGACGACAACAAGGGTGGCAGGGTTGGGGACACTGGGTGCCAAGGGACCCCAAACACCCCCTCCTTACCCCAAGATGTTCCGGGGGTGCTGCCCCCAGCCCCCCCAAACCCCAGCCCTACAGCGAGACCCTTGGTACAGGTGGCACCTGGGGACAAAGGGCCAGCCAGGGGCTGGCACAGCCCGGGGGGGGACCCCCAGGAGCCCCCCCGGGAGAAAGAGAGGCCACAAGCAGGGCGCCACGTACTTCCAAAACAATCGTTGTATCTTTATTGACGCTCTGAATGCAATGACCTGTTTTTTACTCTTAAGGAAAATAAACATCTTTTAGAAACAGCTTGTTACACACAATCTTCAGTGTGAAGCAATATACTAATAAGAACACTAGTCTTAACATTTACAGTCTTCATATATATTATATATATGTATATGTATACATATATATACACTATATAATGAGGCAATATATAATACACACGGTTTACCATTTTACAGTCATATGTACAAGATGTCACTAAAAATAGCCATATTTCAGGCAACACTGCCAGGGACACCAGGATTTTTATTTTTTTTTCTTTAAATTAATTATTTTTATTATTCTTTCTCTCTTCCCCCCCCCCCCCCCTCCTTTTTTGTGTTTTTCACTCCTGTGTCCAAGGCAAGCTGCTGAAACAACAGACATTTTGTGGCCAGCAAACCTTGAGGGTGAGGACTGGGTGGGACGGAGGGGACACGACAGCTGGCGGGGACACGAGGTGCTGGCTCTGCAGGGTCCGGGATGGGGGACACGGATGGGGCCAGCACTATGCCACCCCCTCCCCCCCCGCTTTGCAAGTGGCGGAGCAGCTGGCAGCTCTGTTTTTAGGATGGGATTTGGGGTTGATTCACCCTGGATTGGTTATTTACTACCTGCGCCAGGGTGCGGGTGGTGCAAGGTTGGGGTGTGCAGACTGGGGAGTCATGTGGGGTACCCCCGCGGGGACAGGGGCAGGGGGTGATCCCAGTGCTGGGCAGCCCCCCAGCTCCACCGACGTGGCCGGGAAGGGAAGCGAAAGCCAAGGGAGCCGAGCGAACCCGGCACCCAGGGCAGCGAGGGGCGAGCCAAGGCCATGCAGAGGGAGGAAGCAAATGCCTCCTCCTCCTCCTGCAAGGACCCTGCTGCCAGCTGGAAGCCATTTCTGAGCTGCTTGCACCCTCTTACCAGGCTAAAACCCTGGGCTTCAGCACCCAGAGCCATGGGGTTCAGCACCCAGAGCTATGGGGTTTGCACCCAGAGCCATGGGGTTCAGCACCCAGAGCCCTGGGGTTTGCACCAAAGCCCTGGGTTTTGCACCCAGAGCCATGGAGGTTTGCACAAGCACAGGGAGCAAAGCCCGTCCCCAGCAAGAGGAGCTGCAGACGAGGTGCTGGCGAGGCCGAGCAGAAAGAGGAGGGTGGGTTTTTTGGGGAGGTGTCCCAAAGAGCAGGACCAGGTGTCCCCATCCCAGCAGTGCCAGCGCCCCATGGAGCGGGAGGGTGGAGGGTGCAATGGGCCGGGGTTCGGAGGGAGGGAGCGGGGCTGGGGCAGCCCGGTGGGCGCCCACCAGCCCAGCCAAGCACCCTTCGCCCCGGTGCGGACCCAGCTGCCCAGCGCAGGGGCTGGCACCCCGAGACAGGCAGGGGGGGAGCCAGACAGGAGATGGAAGAACGAAACGGAAAAAAGCAGAGTGGTGTTTCAAACAGCAGGCCGTTGTTTGTCTTTTTTTTTTTTGTCTTTTTTTTTGTCCTTTTTTTTGTCTTTTTTTGTCTTTTTTTTTTTTTTTCCTTTTCTCCGCCGCACGTATATACAGACAGACACCGTGAGGTTTGCTGAAGGCAACATCTCAGATCAGATCAGTGTGAGATATGGAGAGCCGGGACCCGCGGGGGGGTCCGGCGGCCCCACAGTAAGACAACATCGCCGGGACCCCCCCCATCCTTATACACGGCCCCCCCGCCCCCCCC